CCAATAATAATAAATAATGTTGTTCACCAACCCGCTTTTACACCGGACGATACCATTCATAGCAGCAGCCTGTGATTCATCATACGTAATCTATCTCTCAATCACCTTAGTTTTTAAAGATTTACAACCTCATTAACTGACTCGTCATATTTACCTAGTATCCTATGTTTAACTTCAGAATTTGTCACTTTGTGATCCGAACGTTTAGAAAACAATTATAATGGAGTTTTAATTTTACTTGTTTTCCGTTTTATTTTCGGCAGCAAACTAATCACTTTCTCATTTCCATTTTGAAAGCCACTCATGTTGATCCCTGTTATGTAATCTTGTTATGTATTTTATCAATGTTAAGCTTCTTAGTAACTAAATATTGGTAGGTTTTGCGTAATACGATACAAGCTATTCGTCATCGCATTTTGAATTCTGCTCAAAACTCCATACCCGCTAACTTAAATTTGATTTATTCGTCAATAAAGTATACTTTTGCCGTATGTGTTAACTAAGGCTTCCTTATTTATAAGTAAGCATTATTATCTCTATTGTTTATTGTGTACTACGTGGCATTACACGATACAATACAACTAATTATTTTGAGTAGGACGTGTGAACAGGATAAATATGATTAAGAGCAAGAGTATCGATGATAGATTTCTCATTAAATGTCGTTGAATGGATGGCAAATGCCATGTGCAAATTGTTAATGAATCACTAAACCTTGTATACAATATTTTTATTTGCTATACCACTACTATATATATTACAAGTTTCTCGATATAATTTTTTCTCAAGTTCAGTCATTATTCTTTCGTTAACTTGCAGTTTTTTAATTGTCCTTGTTTTAAAGGAGGGCAAAAAACGAATATCACTTTCACCTGCTAAATCATGGTTCAGTTTTTTCCATTCATCAAATACTGAAAAGGAAGATAAGCAAACCTCTTCTGTTCAAAGTGAAAATGTTCGTAACGCTAATCATTCATCACTTCTGAATCTAACAAATAATGACACTTCTGTTACAGATATTGATTCTGAGTCTTCTAGTGAACCTGTATCTATTTGGCGTTTTGCTGCTGTATCTGCTGGTTTCATGACATGTGCTTCAATTTTTGGTTTAGCACTTATACTTGAAGCTGAAGTGCATTCACCAATCATGGCAACAATTCGTGGTCATCCATGGTTTTTAGATTTTGATTCTCGTTTTTATCGACCTATGCGATCTGCTCTTCTTGGTTTCTGGCGTCGTTAATAATATCTACCTAATATACTTAGCTTATTTGTTTAAGTAGCATATTTGTCTAACCTTGTTTTTTTCTTCGTTTATTTGTTGTGGTTTCTTTTTTAATAGGATAGTATTTTTTGTATAGATTTTTTTCATTTTCCAGCTTAAATGTAAAATGTTTCAAGGTCTACAGTTCAGGTTTACATAATCCACATATTACGTGATATTTGTTGTGCTTTTATCTTTCTTTCCAGTTGTCATTTCTGTTGTTGTCCTTTTTGTTTTTTTCCTTGACTATAATTTTTGACTTGAGTTTTTCTTTTATCATTATATTTATTTATTTATTTATTGTGTTTTTACTATTATTATTCATATTGCTACAACTCACTCATTGTAATGAAACTCATCATTTTCGGTGTTCTTGAATAATATGTCATTGTTGTTTTCATCTACTCGGATAATATCTACATATATATAACGTGTTTTGAATTTTTGCTTTCGAAGTTTTCGATTTCAGTGTTCATTTGATAGTGATGATCAGCTTTCGTGGTAATTTCACCCTTTCTAACTTTTAGCATAAAATCAATAAAACTGTATACTGTAAACAAACACCATTTTAAACAGTGCATTTACGGTAGATATGTGCAGACAATGAAAATTCATCAGTAGTATATTGTTCCGTTTTTCTTCGTCATTGTCAAATTGCTTATTATTTATCACTGACCTTTTCTTTTCTCATTTCACTATATTTTCATCCATTATTTGTTAAACCCTTTATAGTTTTTATTATAAATTACTGCATTTCACTACAATTTGAATTACTATAAAAATATATATGTGCCTAAATAGTATTATTTATTAGTGTTTGTAAGGGTTTATAATCGTTTTCTAGATCAAGTACCTCAGTATTAGTTCCTAGATTTATAGTTTGAGGTTACTTTTTTGTATGTTGACTAAGATTTAAATTCAGGATGGTGTATCAGGTGGCTACAAATAGTCGACTAGGAAGCCTGAACCTAATTTTCTCCCTAGCTAGCACCCATCACCAATGTGTACTTATCATTCTGAGGAAACTGACGCTTCTTGTGAAATTGGAAGCTCAGAAATGGAAATCACTAATCTAACTTATAACTGTAACATGTACATAGAAAATGTTAAGATACATTAAGTAACATATGATAGGTAGAACATAAGCTGACCAGTAAAGTTGTAGTCAGAATGGGGTTGTGGAGATTGTTGAATTTCACTAAAACCATAAATCGATCCAAGTTAGACCAACATTGAGAACCTCGAAGTACTGGGCGTGCTAGTATGGGACCCCTCAGAAGGGCGCATTCATGACTCAGGACTTTCGATCCCGTACGCGGACGCTTTATACGTAGACCGCTAAGTCGGTCCATGATCTCAATGTAATTCAACAATCTTCGCAACCCCATACTGACTGTTATCATACTTTCACTAATAACTGGCTTCAAGAGGAAATTTTAGGAATTCTAGTCAGGATCCGTGACTAGTAGAGTTAATCCGTGTCAGGTGTGAGACAGTTACCCATCGAAGAAAATCGTCGTGGGTTAATTAGGGTTAGAAATTAACACCACTGCACCTCAATTTGTTCTACAGTTTAGGCATCCGCAAGCGAGACTGAAGGTCCTGGGTTCGATTCCTGCATGGAAAGTCGTGAATGCACACTCATGAGGAGTCCCATACTAGGACGTCCAGGTTTTCAATAGTGGTCTAACATCGATCGGTTCGTGATTTCAATTCAGTAAAATAGTAATTCGATTGCAGATTTTATAAAGGAAGTGAATGACTGGTACTTCTGTGACACAAATTTCATGCCTTTGGTTGCAGTGGTAAAATATAAATAGGATTATCATTCATTCGAAATTGTAGAAAACGTTGTATGGTTTCCTGTGGGCTGTCCTCACTTTTAAGAACATACCAACCCTAATTTCTTGATTTCAATGCGTTTAGTAACTTGAAATCAGATGATTGTTCTCATCATGCTCCCGTAAAGAGTAAAATATAAGAATATATATACTCCCTACTACAAAACTATGAAGGTAACTATCTTACTGATGAACTTTGATTAAGACCAAACAGAAACTAAGTTTCTCTGTTCACTTTGAACTAAATTTCTTGCGTATGTCATTCAACTAAAAATGTAAGCAGTAAATCGTAATTCTTTAAGACTACTCACATATTTCTACAAGTTTTTTCTTTTAAAATCATTCATAATCCACAAGAGCTCTGATCAACTTGTAATTAAAAATCCGTGTAAATGTGTAGCATATTCGATATCATGGAAGTATTTTATTTACCATATACTGCCCAACAGGTTTGACTTTTCCTATCATGGGGGTGTTTACATGGACACACAAACAAGAACTGACTGATCCACCGTTTCATCATCCCAGCTAAACCCAAAAACAATAGGTGATTTATCGAAACCCCGCTTTCTAAACCAACGAATTATACTTTGCGTAACTGATTCGCAAAACACCCTCCATGACCTTGGTGTAAACAGACTTAATATTCGACAGACTGCAGTTTATTATAGTCTGGTCGTTATGGCTCAGGAAATGACCTTAAGTACACCATCCATGCATCAACAAGATGTTCACTTAAAAAGAATTAAAAGTTCCTGGTTGACACCTTTCATTTCTGTAATACATGTGAAGAATGTACTATCTAAACAATTTTGAACTAGAGCACTTCAAGCAATCTAATATCGCATATGTCCTCTACATTTAATATTACTATCTATATCAGAATAATCATGCCTGTACACTAGCATAAATTCTGTAATTATTATTTTGGGAATGTAATATTCCATAATTTTCATTAAATACTCCGTTGGTATTATATCGAAAAGAGAAGGAAAACTGATTATTCGAAATCACATAGGCTCTGTAAAATATAAACTGTTGTTAACCGGTTCAGTTGTTCAAATAAGTAGTGATTACATAGGATTTAGTTGGAGATTGTAATATACCAAGTGTCATCTGTATATCATATTTTTGATGGCAAGTGCACAGTAAGTCATCTGAATTCCTTATTTGTGACTGTCAAAAAAAATAAACATTAAGAAATTTAGCAAAGCTGTCAATACTTATTGTTTATACAATTATAAGTCAAGTTAAATTAGCAGATAATCTGACATCCAAGCATATGTAGAAAACGCATTCTTAAGTTTGAAGAAAATATCGTTATTAAAATTGCGCTTGGGAAGTTATAGGAAATTCATCTCATCCACTTCGTTCACGAGCACATGTTACATGTGGATCACTAAAGAAAACTTCTGTCTTATTTGTTTTTGAGTGGAAAGAGAGGATTTAACTAGTTAGCATTGCAGGCTCAGTGGTCTAGTGGTTAAGTGCTTGAGCGTGAAACCAGTAGGTCCTGGGTTCGAATCTCGCAGGGGGCGATGTCGTGGATGCGCACTACTGAGGAGTCCCACAATAGGACGAAACGACCGTACAGTGTTTCCAGGTTTTCCATGGTGGTCTAGCTTCAACTGACTCATGATCTTAATCATTGAAATTAAATGTTAAGTCACAAAGAACATAGTAAAAGAAGAAGAGAAAAAGAAAAGAATTTTATTTCAAAATTATTATTAACTTTTTTTTGTTTAAAAATTCTAATCCATAAAATATTACCTAAAGTTACATGAGATTAATTAAAGTAAAAGAAAAATTAAAGAGAATAATAATTTCTATTTCTACTTTACTACTTAAATGTAAAATAAAAGTGTATTTAATCTTGGTTTATTTATTTATTTATATTAGGAAATATGACAATGAATAATATTATTAGAATAATTAAAACTGTAATTATAAAAGTACCAATGAATAGAAATGCAAAAATTCTTTTTCTTTTTATATAATTCTTTAATATATCACATAATTTATAATGAATCGGCAATTCATTTATAGTAGGTAAAATATGTATTTTATTTTGTCCAAATGATGTACTTAGATTTAATGAATTTATACTACTTAATGTACTTTTTTTATTAAATGCTTGTGAACGATTACTTAATTGACTTTTACGTGGATGTATAGTTGATGTTGATTCTTGTAAAGATAAACGTTGTTCCATATCAACAGGAAATGCCAATACATTCCATGGTGTAACACAAACTAATGACTAGAAGAAATGAATTAATAAAAAATAGAAAAAAAAATAACTGAAAAAGAAACAAACAAATTTTATTTCATAACATTTAATAGAATGAATTGTTTTGTCAGTTTAGGTGTTGTGGAGATTGTTAAGTTTTTGATTGGAATCATGAGTCAATTGAAGCTAGACCACCATGGAAAACCTGGAAGCACTGGACGACCGTTTCGTTCTATTGTGGGACTCCTCAGTAGTGACTAGCTTCGTGAAAAAATTCTCGGAGTACTGGTGAGAAGCCGTGACCAGTGGAGCTAATCCGCCTCGGGCAGAAACAGGTGTCTACCTCAGTACAATGGAAGATGGTTGTGCGATTTTGTGGATTGGTTGAGGTTAGACATTAACACTATTGGATGCCGGCTCAGTTGTCTAGGTGGTTAAGCGCCTGGCGCGAGACTGATAGGTCCTGGGTTCGAATCTCGCGGCGGGCAGGATCCTGGATGCACACTGCTGAGGCGTCCCATACTGGGACAAAACCGCCGTCCAGTGTTTCCAGGTTTTTCATGGTGGTCTAGCTTCAATTGACTCATGATTTCAATCAAGAATTGTTTTGTATTGTAACATTCGATATCATTTAGGTATCATTACCAAGGTTTGACTTGATAATTTCAAACAAATTGAGGATTAGGGTAGATTGTTACAAATAAATTAGTATATTTGTAATATCCTAATGAGTAGAAAATAGTACCTATTTAAACTTGGATTAATTTTGATTTGGTTATTTGTTCTCTGAAGAAGTGAGTCACGAAATGTCGGAAAATTTAATTTTTCTATTTTATCGGGATATTACAAATAGATTTATTTATTTATATCGGTATCATGATTATCTTGATATATAATTTTTTTCTAAAGTAATAGATTCGGTTTGAAACATTTGGATTTATAGTTTCTTTTATCGCGAACTGAATTTATTTAGTGAACTAATGAGAATCAAAAATTGCTAGGTATATATTTCACTCTAATATGGAATTCCGTAGCTTTACGCATCCATAACCTTGAGGGGGATTGAATGTAGAACATTTAGGCCTTGTGATGAGCACTTCACTTTCAGATCACTGAGTTTAACTCAAGTAAGTTTTATTTCTAACTTCAATCAATTCTTAATATTGAATAAATAACGACCATTGCTACTGGTTACATCTAGCTTACTCTCGATACGGCTGATCTCTATCAGTCATGCCTTCCCAATAGAATCCTAGGAATTACCTCTCAAAGTTAGTCTTCGACTAGACATAGGAGAAACTGCAAAAATGCTCTACGTTCTATTTAGGAGGATTTGGGAGGAAGAACAAGTGCCGACAGACTGGAAAGGAGGATACGTCATCAAGATACAAAACGAAATAAACCTGAGCACACATGAAAACTACAGAGATATCACAGTACTATCGGTACCAGGAAAAGTTTTCAACAGAGGGTTGAAGAATCAGCTGAAAGATTCAGTAGACACACGGCCTCGAGATCAACAGGTCGAATTCTGTAAGTATCGGTCGTGCACAGACCAAATCGTAACACTATGGATCATCGTTTAACAATCGAATGAATGGAACTCGTCACTATACATCAACTTTCTTGAAGGTGTTTGACAGTGTGGATAGAAGAACTTTATGGAACCTTCTTCGGCAATATGGTGTACCTGGAAAAATCATCATCATACGAAATTCACACGATGGACTACATTGCAAATTGGTGCATGGATGACAGTTGACAGACGCATTCCAAGTAAGGATCGGCTGCTTACTCTTACCCTTTCTCTTTCTTCTGATGGTCTGCTGGATCATGAAGGCCTCCACATCTGAAGGGAAGCACGGAATAAAATGAACAGGTTGGATGCAACTAGATGATTTGGACTTCGAAGATGACCTGGCCTTTCTATCCCATACACACGAACAAATGCAACTGAAGACAGCCAGTAAAGCAGAAGCCTCTGCAGCATTAAATATAAACATACATAAGGGAAAAGGAAGATCCTCAAATACAACATGAAGAACACCAACCTATCCACACTTGATGGAGAAGCTCTAAAAGAGGTGGAGCAGTTAACCGCTTATTATTTGTTTTTTAGTTCAAAATCTCTACTGTGGATTCACTTTTTGTATCATTTATTTCTACTAAACTTAAATATGAATCGACACATGTGGTTTTTTAAATGTGTCGAAACTACAGTTTTATATAATGTATTATTAGGATTAATTAGTTGACTTATTGAAACTTTAACTGAATCGTTTCTATAGTAACTTAACTATCACTGTTTTCTAAGATGTTTGAATATATATATATATATATATATATATATATATATATATATATGGTCTGTACTTATGATAATCTCTTTATTATGTACCATAAAGTTTGCTATGGGAAAAACCTTTAAGGACAATAAACATTGTTACAAATGTAGTTTCAGCGATATTCTCATCTATGAAATATTTAATACCCATAATTTAGTTAGTTCTTATTTTTGTTAAGAATATGTTAAGCGCAGAAAATGCTGCAAATTCTGGTCGTTTTGTTCGAGGTTTACAGTATTCACCTTCAACATAAGTTGTAAAACTTTTATAGTAGCGTGTAAATAGATAATAAGGTTAGCATCCAAGATTATTCGATAGAAACATAAGTTAGAAAGTTTATATAGATTGGATGGAATTTAGCTATCAGTAGAATCCAGGATGTACGTTTCGTTTTATTTAAAAAAAGATTTGTCACACTTCAAATTATCCAGAAGTTTAAGCTGACTATTGAAGTAAATCTTTATCATTAAATCAGTTGATAGTTCTTCACCAATTTTATGAAGTTCATAAATTTTTTGCTTATTTGATTATTTCAAATCTATCTAATCGAGTCAAAGGAATGTTTAAAAACATTCGAAGCCTTGTAGTTATATCGATAGATTGCATAGATTATATTTTATGAAGATATCATTTAATGATGTAATCGTTTGATTAAGAATGATCAGATCATTTATTGATAATCTCTTTGTAGTTATTTCATGTTATAACTAGCAGTCAAAATCTTGCATACTTAAACATTTACTGAACTCCACTGATTATACTTGAGTATTCTTAGTTGACAAACATTGTTGAATAAAATAAATAGTCTTATTAAACGAAAATTTCAATGAAAAAAAACAAACAAACATACCGAAATATCATGTAATGCAGTTTGTAAAGTACAATATTCATTTTTCAATATATCAATTTCAGAGAGAGTTGAATTCCCTGTGATGTTTTGATCATTATCATCAACATCATTATTGTCTATATTAGTTTTATCAGCTAATAACAATGAAATATCATTTTGATCTATTCCTAATTCTAATGATTTAGTATATCCAGTATTAATTAATGAACTAATATTAGTTTGTAATAATTTATTAGATGCTAATATCCATGATGAATCATTTTGTATTACAACTTCATGATTGATAAGTTCATGATTTTCAAACTTTTTATCTTCTACTTCACTATCATTTTTATTCATATTAGTAGTATTAGAATTAAATTGTAAATTTATTGAAGGAAACAATGTTATTAAATGAAGTGTTTTTAATAATGCTCTCATATGATATTCAATATAAGTTGTAAATACAGAAAATAATTGATCAGATTGTTCACTTGTTATATTAGTTGATAGACCAATATTAGCATTACGCCAACATTTAATTAATTGATATTGAGTATTTTGTAATTCATACATCATATATCTTTGTAAATTAATAAGATTTTTTCTTACTAATGAACAATCTAATTCTGTACCAAGTATTGTACATACATTACGAAATTCAGCTGATATAGTATTCAGTAATTTGAATTGTTTTAAATATTCTTCATAATCATTTGTTTCATTATTCATTGGTGAAACGGTTGTCATATTACTGTATTAATTATTACAATATAATACTTGACAATATTATTAAATTATAAAGTACAGTGATGAAACGAAGAGAAAAAACAAAATGAAATGATTGAAATATTTATATGGATTTACAAAATAGGGCATTGCTTCTTCTTCATCATCATCATCATCCTCATTATCACCATCATCAACATTATCATAATAAATATGTTTAACTAAAGTTATAAATAATAAAGGAAATAATATCATGAAACTATACAGAAACACATTTATTTGTCATTGAAACAAATTGAACATACATTTAAATTTTCTTTCCTTTTTTTTCTTGAAGTTAATCTTCTTTTGTTTGTTTGTTTGTTGTTTTATTCACATGTACTTTTTCTTTACTTTATACGTAAAGTGTTCTATTGAGAATGGGAAATGTAATTTCCTTTGAGTAAAAAAAAGAAGCAAATACTGTTGTTTGTCTTGTTTCGTTTTTTAAAGTGAATTAAATACATTAGATTTAATCAATTCAATATGATTGGTTCTTGTTAATTATAGGCTAATTTAACAAAGTTTTTCATTTTATAAACTGAACAGTATACTACTTATTTTGTAGTCGTCAAATGAAAAATAGATTTTTAATCAAAGTAATAGTTTCTATTTAATTGTAACATAAAATGTGAAGAGAATAGAAATACTTCATTTTATTATTACTATTAATATTATTATTATTACCATTATTACTACACATCCTGTAACGATTGCTTTTTTAAGTGTAAATGGCAAAATGAAGCGAAGTAAGACGACGTATTAAAGAATCTAACCAAGAGTTGATGAAAATTAATGATAATTAATTATAAAAAAGACCCATATTTTTTTATTTAAAAAAACAGTTTAATAATAGCCAGTAATGGAATACAAGAAATGTATTTAATCTTAATTGGGACTCGTCAGCTGGGTGAACAATTATCACAGTGTTGATATTCACATTGATCGCCAATATCGAACTTTGCATAGAGATTCTTGCAATACAATAGCGATAATCAGTCAATCCATTCAGGGTGCATATGTAACAAAAAGAACCTAATCAGTTATAGTCCTTAATATCAAAAAACGTGAAAGATTCACGCCTTCACAAGTGAAATATTGGTTTTTGTCTTTATTCATTGTTTTGACACTCACTAAAACGGATGGGTAACAAAATGGTAACTTCATTGATTTAGTGTAATATATAATATTCTTCACTATTTAGTGGTGATTCATATGAAGTTCACTTTCACACAATTATTTTCAAATTTTGTGGATTTTTAAGAAAACTTCAGTTAAACAACATTCGCGTCAAAGACATTAGAAATATAACAGTGATTAATCGATTGGATTGTATGGTCATTATTCTGTATCGTAAAAATCGGATGTCAGAATATATATCAACATAAAAGAGAAGATCATCCATCTTTGCTTATAATACTTGTGACTTAAGGCAATATCAAGGTAATCCGCACAGGATTCACACATGCCAATAAAAGACTGATCAGTTGCAGTCCTAAACATCATTGGGAAGATTCAAACAACCAACACAAAATGAATTAGAACTCCACCTCATTGCATAAGCTAGTGACTATCAGAACTCAATAGCTAAGTGGATAATGCGAACAGTACTGGGTTGGAGTCCCGGAGTGAACATCAATTCTGGGATGCAGGTACATCCAGCTGACGAGTCCCGAATAGCACGAAACGTGAGTCCTGGATTCCACTGCTAGCTACCATCCATGTTTGCTTATAAGGAAACTTAAAGTTTGAAATAACCATGAAGTTGTTGCTCATCAGTGATATGCACTCTATTTACTTACTGATAATAACAAGTCAAGATGAAATTAAAACTCAAGAAGCACTGGACAACGGGGCGGACAACATCACAAAAGTTCAATACGGCCTTTCTTCAGGATACTAACAAACTCAACAAATTCAAGATAGTCCTCAGCAATAAGTCCCAGGCCTTTCATGATCTACTCAATGGAGAAGGAACTACTATGGAGAGAAACTGGAAGGGTATCAAAGATGCAATCACTTCAACATCTCATGAGGTTCTGGGCCACAAGAAGCACCATCACAAGGAATGGGTCACTGTTGATACACCGGATAAGATTCAAGAAAGGAGGAACAAGAAGGAAGCAATCAATACCAGTCGAACAAGAGCAGAAAAAGCAAAGACACAGGCTCAATACACAGAAGTAAACAAGCAAGTGAAGAGGAGCATAAGAACTGACAAACGTAAATATGTGGAAGATTTACCAATGACGGCGGAAAAGGCTGCAAGAGAAGGAAACATGAGACAACTGTATGACACGACAAAGAAACTCTCTGGAAATCGCCGCAAACCAGAACGACCAGTGAAAAGCAAGGAAGGCGAGGTAATCATCAATATTGAAGAACAACGATACAGGTGGGTAGAACACTTCAAAGAACTCTTGAATCGACCAGCTCCACTGAACCCACCCAACATCGAAGCAGCACCCACAAACCTCCCAATCAATGTTGGCCCACCAACAATTGGAGAGATCAGCATGGCCATCAGACAAATCAAGAGTGGCAAAGCAGCAGGACCGGACAACATTCCAGCAGAGGCACTGAAGGCAGACGTAGCGGAAAGTGCAAAGATACTCCACATTCTCTTCAATAAAATTTGGGATGGGTAACAAGTACCAACGGACTGGAACAATCAGTTGAATGGAATTCATCACTCTACATCAACTTCATTGACTACGAAAAAGCATTTGATAGTGTGAACAGAACAACACTATGGAAACTTCTCAAATATTACGGCGTGCCTCAGAAGATAGTCAATATAATACCGATTCCTATTATAGGTTAAACTGCAAAATCATGCATGGAGGACAATTGACAGACTCGTTCGAGGTAAAGACCAGCGTCAGGTAAGGTTGCCTACTCTCACCCTTTCTCTTTCTCCTGGTGATCGGCTGGATCATGAAGACGTCAACATCTGAAGGGAAACACGGGATACAGTGGACATCTACGATGCAGCTGGACGATCTGGACTTTTCAGATGATCTGGCCCTCCTATCGCAATTGCAACAACAAATGTAGGAGAAGGCGACCAGTGTAGCAACAGTCTCAGCAGCAGTAGGTCTCAATATACACAAAGGGAAAAGCAAGATTCTCCGATACAACACAGCATGCACCAATCCAATCACACTTGACGGAGAAGATTTGGAAGATGTAAGAAATCAGGAAAAAAAGCTGGAAGTGGATAGGATACACATTTAGGAAAGCACCCAACCATGTCACAAGGCGAGCCCTCACATGCAATCCTCAAGGCCAAAGGAGAAGAGGAAGACCAAAGAACACATTACTTCGAGAAATGGAGACAGACATGAGAAAAGGAACAAAAATTGGATAGACCTGGAAAGGAAGGCCCAGGACGGAGTGGGTTGTAGAATGCTGGTCGGTGGCCTATACTCCATTGGGAGTAACAGGCGTAAGTAATGTAATAAAAATGATAATAACAACGGAAATACGATAAAACGATAAAAATTATACTGTGATTAGTTAATATAATTTAATTCACTAGTTTAAAAATTTAATCTTTTTCACAGGATTATTCTAATGTTTATAACTTTGATAAAGTAAGGTCATTGTTTAATTTTCCATAAATAATCACTCCTTAAAATTTATAATCAGTAGTTTAGTTGAACTAAAATATTCAATGAGTAATTATTTTTCTATTCCTAATGAAATATCTTGATATCACTGTCTACTCCAATATAGTGTTGGGTGACATAAGAGCATATTGTAGAAGTACTACAAGTGGATATGTCAGAACATAATGTTATTTCATGAGGTTATTGATTGAAGGCCAGAGTCATGTCGGTAAAAGAAAACTTCCCGGTGGTTACCCATTCAATACTTCCGATCAATGGTTGGAGCTGTTGGGTAATGTGGTCCTAAACCAATCACAGTGGGGCAGTCGACGTCATTCTCCAGACCCTTTTAAATATTAAGTAGGTCATCATTCCTAAACTTTTTTATCGAAGCCATTTGTTCTGCTTGAAATTTGTTTCTGAAGTTTAACTTTCTGTTGCTCTCGATAATACTTTTTCCTCCTTTACTTCCTTAGGTGTTAATTCACTGTCTGTCGCTGTGTTCGTGTGAGGTATAGTATTTCGAACAGACATATATTGAGCTCTTATCCTGGATCAATGATTATTGACTTGTTAACAAAGTACTGAGTTCAAATCAAAGAATGTAGAGCAACTGACATGAAAGCATTGAATATAATTCGAGAAATAACTAGTGAAGAACTTTCCTAATTAGTTACAATGAAAAGTATTCGCTTTGTCTAATAAGTTGAAACTACTCAATATTAAGGCTGAGAATATTAGTTCAAAATGAACAAGAAAATGTAATTAATGCTAGAAAATTAAACTTTGATCAGACTAAAAAAAATACATCAAAGATATTATTACATTAACACTAACATATCTACATCATGTGGTAGAAGACAAAGGTAATAACTAGTTAGAAAACACTTTTTAAACAATTCTCACATATATTTAGTTCATAACATTGGATACTAGAAAAAGACAATTTTAATTATCAGGGCGTATTAAGTTACTAAGGTAACAGAATAATATAAAAATTCAAAAGAAATTATTTTGAAAAATCGAATTTTTGTTTTACTCTTTAAAATAAGTAAATTTAAACACAATTGCAAACAATTAAACTATACACATATTTGCATTTGAAAATGTAACATGTAACTCGATAATGAATACAAAGTTGAATATAATTGATTTACTCCATGTCAATCTTCAATTCTGGTCAGTTGTATAATTGAAAAAAGAGAATACTTTTTTCCTCGTTTTGATAATTATTCAGTTTCCTATTATTTCGAAAGTAGTAGTTGAAATTAACCCAGTTGAATATTATGCATATTCGTGTTAAATTCATTTTTTTAAAAATATTTGTATAGGTATTTAAAATATAAAAGAAGTAATGGAAATGTTTACATTTAGTGTATATGATCTACAATTCATACTTATAACTGATTCATGGAAGGTATTGAAATTTTAAAAATCATACAGTTATTAATAGATTTGCAAATCTTCTATCAATTGTCCTTTAAATCTTTCACGATTATTCCAGTTCTCAATTCCTTTATGTTTGACTTTCTGTTGTCTTCAGTTCTATCTTATTAACCTTCTTTTGACAGGCATTCCATTTATGATTGATGTTATATATATATATATATATATATATATATATATATATATATATATATATATATTGGAGATTTGTAATATTTGTTTACTTTAATATCCAGGACATTACAGACCAAAAATAATGATCAAAAAAAAAAACGTTTGAAGATCGCTAAAGTTATTATCAATCTTTTGATCAGT